AGTGCGCGGCAAAGGCGCAAGAAGCTCGTCCGACCCGCAACTCACACCTTCGTCCGCAAGCCCCACCCTCCGCTGTCGGTTGCCACGTGGCGCTGCTTGAAAAGCGCGGGCGCATTTGAGGCAGCGGTCCCATTGCGACCCAATGTCATTCACAACTAGAGTTAGGTTCGTGAAACTCGTCCAACGCGCCCCTTCTCTATCCCAAGGTGGAATGCGGCTGAAATAGGGGAGGTCTCTGTACGGGGCGTAATCGGTGGTTTCGTTTGCTTTCCTTCTCTTTTACAGACCACTCCCACCTATAGCTTCATAACTGAACGCTTTTCCACACCTATTTTATCCCGAATCTTGCCTTTGAGCCTTTAAGTTGGCACACTGGTCAAGGCCCAAGACCGCGAGCAGTGGAAAAGATGTGGAGAACCGCGCGCGACCAACCACCGTGCTGATCAGCGGGTCGTCTAGATATCTGAGTGAGTAGAATTGAAGTAGATAGCCTTTTTGACAAAAATAGAGCCTCGCGAGGGGCCATCGTCTAGAGCGGTCCTAGCTATCTGCTTTATAGATACAACAGGTGATGCCCCGTATGCCTATAACGTACTGCCGTTCACTGCGAAAAACTGCGTCGTTTGCTCATCCAAAAGAATTGGAGATGTGCTCAGCGAGAGATAGATACCAATGCCAATGTTCAACCTGTGGTCAAGTTAATATTGTTGAAACGGGCAGGATCATAGGCGCATGCATGAAGAACATTGTGCAGGCAAAAGACGGCCTCACTTTGCAAGCACCGAGTAGATCAGAGCAGTGATTTCAAAATCAAATGCAAAAAATTAGCCCGTGAGGATGACATCGGTACTAGAAAGTGTTAGGAGCGTCCCTTATCTGCGTGAAAAATCCAAAATTGAACAGCGAATGGATGCACGACCAAAATAAATTACTTCCTGCCATTTTATCCCTCATGTGATCAGGAACATGGCACATACGACATTATCTGCTTCTGGTGTCTCATTTTCCATACTTGCTAGCGGAGGCTGAGCTGAGCTGCAGGAAATTGTCAGTACCGCAGGATGGATTTAATCGCAGAGACTGCCTAACCTTTGTGTCGGCCTGGTACTGTCTATAAGCTCAGTAGTTGGACGTTTAGCCTGGCAAACTGCACGCCAGATTCAACCCAGCTTCGGGTTCCGATGAGGATCGTCGAAACGTCGACTAATAAAGACTTTCACCCTAGCAGACCTGTACAGCCAGTAAAACACCTGTATCACTGTATCACTTCACTTGTTTCTTTTGGCTAGTTCCCCTCACTTACCAGGAAAGGTCATTAGGCCAACCCGGCCAAATGAAATGAGGTGCACATTTCTGTACGCAGCATGAGACGCTGAACTCAAATCTGCTTTCACTATCTGCTGAACTCTTCTCTGAAAGGAGTTACGGAGGGTTTTTGTTGCCGCCCTTGATTTTCAGTGTTTTACCTGCAATCACATGTTAGCCGCACTACAAAAGTATCGAAAGGAGAACCGAGGCACTGGTGATGTGAGCCTAGGTAGCGCAGTTGGTAGCGGTCGTGTTTCTCACGGAGGGGGTCGGGGGTTCGGTCCCTTACGGGGTTTGTTGTTTTGCTTTTTTCCACATGGCTGAAAAGCCTTTTTGAATCTGTTATTTTACCAATGGTCGCCCGACGCTACATCTACGAAGTTTGCAAGCTGACCCTCTTAAACTTAAGCACTACTTGTCTGTGAAAGCCTATGGTGCCCGTAGGTGTCTAGCAGGGTCAAGCGAGGCGTCGAGGAAAATTTGGAAATACGACCCCCCCCCTCCCTCCGCCAGAGGCCGAAGTCCATGAAACGACCCTCTTCAAAAGCCGAACTATGAAAACGCTGTTTAATTCTCCACCAAAACTGTTCATAAAAAAGCCCTGCTACTCCACCGTTCACGGAAAAATTCATTTGAGAAGTACAAAAGTGAAAAAGTCAAAGAATAGTCATTATTGATGAGCCCTATCAAACGAGCAAACGAGAAACGGAGCAAAAAACGTCAAACTAGTCACAAAAATGGCATACTATGACAACATCTCTTCTTTATTTATTTCCCTTCGCAAGACTTACCAAATTTTGGTACTACACAGTGTATGTTCTCAATTCTACACCTCCCCCTTTCAGTTGAAAGAAGGCTTGTAACCGCCTTAGCCAGCTGTGTGCTGACTGATCTTTGGCGTTGACCGTGGAGCAGCTTATTACTATTGAAATTTGAACAAATATTCAAATGATTATAACTTTCTTCAAATATGACGAATTTTCAATCTGAAAGCAGATTTGGGAGTTTTGTAAAGAGCTTTTTCTAATCAGTACTGAAATTACAAAAAGTTATAAGAAATAACAAATTTAGATCAATTAACGAGGAAAAATTCATGATGAGCACGAGTTTTTACACTTTCCGAAGCAATAACTTGCTTCATTTCGTCAAATTCGAAAAGTTAATACGTCATACAAAACTAGAAGATTTTCTCTATCAAATGGTTGCTAAAGCAGCTTTATACGTCCAGTACTCAAAAAATGGCCACGTTGAGGATTTTTGCAAAATTAACGAGGAAAATTCGTGATGAGTGCGAGTTTTTACGCTTTCCAAAGCCATAACTCCGTTCAAACTCATGCAATCTGGAAAGTTAATACGTCATCATAAACTAGAAGATTTGCTCTTTCCAATAGGCAACTAAAACTGCTAAATACGTTCACTATTTAAAAAATGGCCACGTTGAGGATTTTTGCCCGAGTACCGCCGAAAGGTACTTTTTCGCTACATTAGCACTATCCCAACGACTATAGCTCCTTGCAGGAGCGATTACATACTGAAGTAGGAGCAGATTCAAAATCCTCGTGCTTTTCTCTCTGCAAAAAGTGTAAAATTGTTTAGCGGGTCTCAACTTTAAAGGTTACATGCTTGTGAATTTGACGCTGAAGGCTGCGTTTCTTGTTGAATAGTGTACTCCTCTCTGTAATTTAACATGAACTCTTTCAGAACCCTCTTGATTCTTCCTGAATTAAGATTCGTTATCAAGATAGCCGTAGCTGAAGCGCGCGCAACCAACTGGGCCCACTCTGGGATGCGCCGTGTGCTTCACATCCCTTCGGGATTTGAGGACCTCACTTGAAAGATAAAATATCCCTAGAAAACGTGCGAATTTCGGATTCTTGACTTGTGTGGTGATAAAACACTGAAGTAACTAAGAATTGCTAAGCGGACACCTCTAAATCACGAAGATTTTGTGTGGACGGAATCAATTGTTATTGGAAATACTCTGGCCTGGCATCGACTCGATCCTTGATGTTTGTCCTCCGACGATGATCCTACTGCATCAATCTGGCCCGATCTCTTCCCCCAGCGGGCCAATACGACCCCCCCCCCTGTGACATGTCGAGGATTCCTCAACGCACGCTTGACCCTGTGCTAGCTTTCCGTGGCAAGTAGGTATGATATTCGTATTCAGGGGATCAAACTACCCCTTACAGCGAGTTTTTCGCCAAATCTGAGGCGACGAAATAATTGAGAAAAAGCGGGGCAGTGATGGGATTACCACTCCTCAAACTCCACTTTTTTGGGTTGACCAATCATGGACGACGGGGGAAAGGGAGAGAAGGTGTTGTATTAGGAAA